GGCGTTAATTAGAACATTAGAATTGTTTTCCATTTCTTTATCAACCGAGCCGGAACACTTCACCTTACCCCGTCATTCTGCAAGGAACAGCGACCCCCACTTTACAACTTGGGACAACAAGCCATCTGCAAATAGTTCCACTTGCCTTCCACCTCACTTTCACCTCTCAAATGTCTATTCCACTTCGCATGTGGTCATGCAATTCGCTGTCTATCGACAGTCCAAAGTGGTGAATGATTGTTGAAGAAGAATCAGACCAATTTGAAGGATGCGGTAGTAGCTGCTATCTTGCGCGGGCCTCAATCATCGAGCAGATAATCTCGAGGTATTTCATGGTAAACATAGTAACTTTTAAAAAAATCGTGATCATTTTGAAGGCAATTTTTTGTGACAAACCTTGATTGTTAGCGTTGGTTAGCCCGCAGTACATCGACGACCAGTAGTAAACAATCCCGTCTGTGATCTCCAACATAATAGACAAGCTTACTTCCCCAGAATTCAGTGCGTACCGACTTTAAGAATTGTTAGCCGCAAATCTCAAATTCGTCCGCAATGTAAGCACCCATTCAGAAGCCACTTGCCAAATAAAAATGTAGACCCCCAAGAACCAGCACATGCATACTACATACAGAAAGCTTGCTATCTACTTTTCATGCATGGACTGGAGTCTACTACACGAGCAATTCTCACTACAACTCCCCCATTTTATGAAGTAAAAGCAAGCCATTGCATCGTCAACCTTTAGCATTCATGAAGGCTACCCTTAACGCACCGACCCTATTTTCTTTTATTCGCTCATCTTGAGGGCGTTGACTTCGACGGCGATGAATGAGCACCGGGAAGACCCATAGACCGCCACTTAGGAGAAATGCCCGAAATTTTAGTAAACCGATTTTTCAGTGGATGACAACTATTACCTCAAAAATATCCAGCACTACGACTGCCTATACGAAATTTTCTGCAATCCTTTCACCATTTCTTCCATAAACCGATACGCGAATCCCAGAAGGCACATCAAATCATGTTACTGAAGCTAACACACAAGAACCACTGCAGAACAGCTATCAGGAATAACAATCAGCTAAAACTCAAGTCACACCTCACTTCACTAAAATTTGCAAGATGTATTCTCAAAAAAAATAAGTTAGCATCAGCTACCGACATTACAGTCCAGGCAATATTCGCCAGTAAATGATAGACAAGACCTTCATATGGATCAAAAGCGGCTGAATAAGATGAAGAGAAAATTATTAAGCGGAACAGCATAAACAAGAGTGAATTCAAAAAACAAAACCTCATTATAACGCTTCCAACTATTAAAATTGCTAGAACTAATGTAAAGCGGGAACCATGAGCTAAGGCGAACGGTATAGTTCAAGAAGCAGTGTGTAATTAGATGCAAGTAGACACAGACACAACCGAAAGACTTAAGATCAGGAAAGAGCAGAAATAAATTTATACCACGAAAACGTGACAAGAAAATCAGTGCCCATCCGACAAATGCAATGAACGGCAAAACCACATGGAAACAAACAGAAACGCAATACTGACCGAACTAAAACTTACAAGAAAAGTTTGGAGAACAATGTATTTAATTCACGATTGTAAGGTATATACATGGCATAGACGGACGCCTAAAACAAACACGACAGAAACCAAACAACAGGTCTACTGACAAGGCAATTCCTGCCAGCGCTGGTGACGTTCCGGAACAAAGTCGATTATTTTCACGTGAACAGCCTGATACTTCTCATTTTTGGGAGGAATGAGAATTTTCTTGAAAAGAACGCGGTCACCAGCCAGAGGCACCACCTCACCATCAACACTATATGAGCGATGTTCTTAATGACTGTCATGAAACTTACTCAAAAACATGAACAAAGAGGAGCTCCCCATTATCCGCTTTAATGAAGCCATGACCTTTCTCACGGCAGAAGGAGGTAATGACACCTCCTTCTTCAGCAGCCTCAGCAGCTCTAATGCTCTGCGAAAAGGTCCGGTTACGCTTGTGTATGATTGGGCTTGGAATAGGAGGCAAGGGAGAAGCAGGCTCACCAGACTCGCTCATCGCCTAACAAAGCCAAGTGCACATGAAACCTCAAAACACCCGCCACAATCAAATCAAGAAGATTGCAGAAACCCACCAATAGAAAGCAAGGATTTAATGCATTTAATTTTTTATTGATGAAGTAATTATAATAAAGCGCTAGCAGCACCTATTGGAGATAGCCAATTCAAGGAAAGGAAAGTGCTGTTTAGGGCTAAAACCTCCATTTGCAATTACGACATATTGTACCTGTCACAATTTTCTTACTAGGTGGAATCGAATTGAAAAGAAAAAGAAAAAATAAATATACAGCATTAAGCCTTTTGCTAAATTCATGGCTCATAAACGCAAGTACTTGGATCTCTTTTAAGGCCTATAACTTATACAGCTGACGCATGTGGCCGAAAATAATCCTTAAAACGAACATATT